AGTTATTACCACCATCCATCTTCAGAAGTTTTAAAAATCTTCCCAAACTGAAATTCTGTATCTATCAAAAAATGATTCATTCTCCCCGCTCCCAGTACCTGACAGCCACCATTCTACTTTATGTCTCTGTGAATTTCATTACTCTAGTTACCTCATATAAGTGGAATTATACAATTATTTGTCCTTTAGTGACTGGTTTATTTCACTTAGGATAATGTCTTTAAGGCTCATCCATGTTGTAGCATGTCAGAATTTCCTTCCTTTTTAAGGCTGAATAATACTCTCTTTTTAAAAATTCTCTTTTTTGTCTGTGTTTTATTTTGAATCGTTTCTTTTCTTTTCTGTCTTTCTTTCTTTTCTTCCTTTTTTTTTTTTTTTTTTTTTTTTGAGACAGGCTCTCGTTCTGTTGCCCAGGCCAGAGTGTAGTGGCATGATCTTGGCTCACTGCAGCCTTGAACTCCTGGGCTCAAGTGATCTTCTCGCCTCAGCCTCCGAGTAGCTGGGACTACAAGCATGCGCAACCATGCCTGGCTAATTTTTAAAAATTATTTATAGAGATGAGGTCTCACTGTGTTGCCAAGGCAAGTCTTGAACTCCTGGGCTCAAGCAAATCCTCCCACCTCAGCCTCCCAAAGTGTTGGGATTGCAGCCAGTGTCTTTGAATTGTTTCTATTGTTATTTACATTTATTGCTCTTATCTTCTGCAGTGTCTCATCAGTTATTAGCCCCATCCAGGGTAATTTTTGTCTCAGATAATGTCATTTTATCTCTAGAACTTTGAGTTGGGTCTTTTTTTTTATGTATCTATTTACTTTTTTTGTTGAGATGGTACAAGGGGCGGGGGTAGGGGAGCATCTAGCTTTGTTGCTTAGGCTGGTCTTGAACTGGCCATAAGGGATCCTCCTGCCTCACCTCCCAAAGTGCAGGGATTACAGGCGTGAGCCACCACCTGGCCATTATGTGTCTATTTCTTCATTTAACTTTTTGGACATAATGTGATAAACAATTATCATAACTGTGTTAATTTCCTTCTCTGCTAATTTTATTATCTGTGTCAGTTCTTGATTGATTGACTTTTCTCCTCATTATAAGTGATACTTTCCCACTTCTTTGCATGCCTGATAATCTTTGACTAGATGTCAGACACTATGAATTTCATTGTTGGGCTCTGGATACTTTGGCATTTCTTTTTTTTTTTTTTTTGAGACGGAGTTTCGCTCTTGTTACCCAGGCTGGAGTGCAATGGCTCGATCTCGGCTCACCGCAACCTCTGCCTCCTGGGTTCAGGCAATTCTCCTGCCTCAGCCTCCTGAGTAGCTGGGATTACAGGCACGCGCCACCATGCCCAGCTAATTTTTTGTATTTTTAGTAGAGACGGGGTTTCACCATGTTGACCAGGATGGTCTCGATCTCTCGACCTCGTGATCCACCCGCCTCGGCCTCCCAAAGTGCTGGGATTACAGGCTTGAGCCACCGCGCCCGGCATACTTTGGCATTTCTATTAATATTCTTGAGCTTTTTGTGGCATGCTGTTCAACTACTTGAACACATTTTGATCTGAGTCTTCCTTTTAAGATTTGTTAGGATGAACCCAGAGACATGTTTAGTCAGTGGTAGGGTTTCTTAATAGCAGCACCATGACATTTGGGGCCAAATAATTCTTTGTTAGGGAAAGGGGTAGTCCTGTGCATTATGTAGATACAGAATGTTTAACAGCACCCCCACCAACCAAAGTTGTGACAACCAAAAATGTCTTCAGACATTGCCAAATGTTCTGAGAAGTGGGGAGAATTGCCCCTAGTTGAGAGCTGCTGCCTTAGGTTTAGTTTTGCCTCACTACTATGGCAGGATCTTTCTGTGTATTCTACCCAAAGCCACATGAATCAATCTACCCATAGCCTTTTTTCCATCTGACTATTTGGAATAGGCTCTTTTCTTGGCCTTACGTGAGTGCTGGGAATTCATTTCGGTGGTCTTTCCTTGGTCTTTTGTTTCCTTACATAGATGTGCTGATAGGCATTCAGCTAAATATTAAAGAGGTATCTGCAGATCTCTGGAGTTCTTGTCTGTGTATCTCCTCTCCAGTATTGTGCCCCGCAAACACTAGGCATCTTGTCAGCTCCATCTCAAGTCAGTGAGCCTGCCAGGTCTAACGTGAGTTTCCCATCCTGTGCCTCTTGTCGCTAGGAAGCTCAAGGCCATAACCTGATTTGTTTGTTTCCTGCCTCTCAGGGATTTTCCTGATGTCCAGTATCTTGAAACTTTTTTTTCTCCATATATTTTGTTTGTTTTTTGGTTGTTTCAGGTGAGAGAATAAATCCGGCTCTTGTTAGTAAATCTTAGCCAGAAGCACATGTCCTATAACATACCATTTATTTGTATCAATTATTGGTAAAAGCTGAATTCTTAATATTATTAAACATTTACTAATCTAATTTCCTGTTTTATCAGTTTGTATTTGTCATTCAAAGTCTCCTGTTCCCTGTAATTTCCTTGGTACAACATAAATATTAAATGAGCCCTAAAGCTTTTTATCATCTTTTAATATACCTCTTTCATGCAGGCTCTCATAATGTTAGCTAAGTAGTGATTTTAGTATGGGCCTCTTAACTATTACATAGTAGCATACAATTAAAGGGCATGCACTGACCTGATAAAGCAGAACAGTGAAATGTATCATGCTTTTAGGGCATTCCCACAGCAGGCTCAAAGACTTCTAAGAGATTTCTATGTGTAGCTCATATTTTCTAAAACATCAGCATCAAAGCCTGTTAGCCTGATTGAGGTTGTAAAGAACTGGGGAGCTAAGACATGGGAAAAAAACATATGAAAGAAGAGAAGAATCATTTTGAACAGAGTATGAGAGGAAACTGTACTAACGACTAATGCTTTAAGAATGGGAGTGACATGGAACCCATTGGTGGTAAGTTGTTAGAGAAAGGGGAATAACAGACTAGAAATAATGTGACTGAAGAAATCTAGCCTTGTTTTATATGAAAGAAACTTGTCTCTCAGATTTGCTGTATCATAACTACTACAGAGATTATAGCCATGTGCTTGTTGGATATTTAAGGATGAAGTAATTTAGTCAAGAGCATACCTTGGGTAAAAGAAGATATGTATAGTAGGAAGGGTGAAACCATCTAGTTATCCATGTGAACTGAAACAGCAAAATCATATTTCTAATGGAATTCTATATATGATATAAATGATATAAAAGAATATAACACATAAATGTGTAAATTCCGTGTGCTAAAGTGAATACATCGTAATTCTTTGACATTTGAGGTGGTGATGATATGCTACAGCTAAAAAGAGTGAGAGAAGAGTTTTTGTTATTCCATAGTGCATAAGAATTAGACAACTTTTTAAAAAAAATAAAGACTCCTTGTAAATGGATGTGATAATTTTTGAAGACAGAAACTATGTGGGTCGATAATAAAAGTTTTTTTGTGAAACAAAATATGACTTAAGGCTTTCAAAAAATTAAGATTGCTTTTAGTAATAATGAAATAAGTGCTTAATGGTTAACTGACATTTCCCTGACATTCATCTGTGGGTGGATTTTATCAAGCTTATTTCTTGTTTTCTAAATAGTTTCGATGATACAAATGGTGCTCATGTAGATAAAGTGTCTGCCTTTGCCAAATGATTGTAAGTCTTCATGGTAAGAGTTTATGTGGGTAGAAAAGGAATGCGGACCAGTACCAGCTTTTTACTTTTCTCACTATGAGGAAGCACAGAAAGTTTTTCATAGCCAAAAATGCATTTATAAGGCCATAATAAACACTCAAATCAAGAATTATTACATTGTGGGGAAAGGAAGAGGATGTTGTCCTCATTCATTTGTCCTTCAGGATAGAAGGGTATTCATTTGTATTGATGTTTTATTTGGTTTTTCAAGACTTTGAAAATAAAGTTTAACATAACATATATAGAGAAAAGTATAGATCACAATTATACAGCTTGATGAATTTTCACAAAAGGAACAAATCTGTATAACTAATATCCAGATTTTTAAAAAAGAACATTTATATTAGAACTGGTGTGGGGGTTTTTGTTTGTTTGTTTGTTTGTTTTGTTTTGTTTTGTTTTGAGACAGAGTCTTGCTCTGTTGCCCAGGCTGGAGTACAGTGGCACAATCGGCTCACTGCAACCTCTTCCTCCCGGCTTCAAGTGATTCCCCTGCCTTAGCTTCCCAAGTAGTTGGGATTACAGGCACCTACCACCATGCTCAGCTAATTTTTTGTATTTTTAGTAGAGATGGGGTTTTACCATGTTGGCCAGGTGGGTCTCGAACCTCCTGACCTCGTGATCTGCCTCCCTCGGCCTCCCAAAGTGCTGAGATTACAGGTGTGAGCCACTGCACCCAGCCCGAGTAGGCTTTTTAATTAAGTTATAACTGATGCTGTGGAAAAGCCATTTGTAAAATGTCTTTCTTTAAAAATCTTTGGTTATTGACTTTTCTTCTGCCGTTGGAATCATATGCATAAAATTATTCGTATGTTAATCTATTGAAAATCATTATTGAATAATTTTTGTTTCTTTTACTATAGAAGCCAATAGGATAGTATAAGTAAATTACTATTTCTGGTGTGTATGTGTGTGTGTGTGTGTGTGTGTGTGTGTATTTTTTTTTTTTTTTGAGACAAGATCTCCCTGTTGCTCAGGCTGGAGTGCAGTGGCACACTGCAGCTTTGACGTCCCAGACTCAAGTGATCCTCCCACTTCAGCATACCAGGTAGCTAGGACTACAGGCTATGCCCAAGCTAATTTTTTTTTTTTTTTTAATAGAGATAGGGACTTGCTATATTGCCAAGACTGATCTTGAACTCCTGGCCTTAAATAATCCTCCCAACTCAGCCTCTCAAAGTGCTGGGATTATAGGCATGAGCCACTGCACCTGGCCTTTTTCTGGTATATTTATGTGTGTTTGTCTTTGAAGAAATTGTTAGGCCACACTGAAGCTTTTGTTTTGTTTTCCTGTTTTCTCTTGACAGGCAGCGGAGGAGGAAATGGCAGGTCCTAATCAACTCTGCATTCGCCGCTGGACTACCAAGCATGTAGCTGTGTGGCTGAAGGATGAAGGCTTTTTTGAATATGTGGACATTTTATGCAATAAGCACCGACTTGATGGAATCACATTGTTAACATTGACTGAATATGATCTGCGGTCTCCTCCTCTGGAAATCAAAGTCTTAGGGGACATTAAAAGGTTAATGCTCTCGGTCCGAAAATTGCAGAAGATACATATTGATGTTTTGGAAGAGATGGGCTACAACAGTGACAGTCCCATGGGTTCCATGACCCCTTTCATCAGTGCTCTTCAGAGTACAGACTGGCTCTGTAATGGAGAGCTTTCCCATGACTGTGACGGACCCATCACTGACTTGAATTCTGATCAGTATCAGTACATGAATGGTAAAAACAAACATTCTGTTCGAAGATTGGACCCAGAGTACTGGAAGACTATACTGAGTTGTATATATGTTTTTATAGTATTTGGATTTACATCTTTCATTATGGTTATTGTCCATGAGCGAGTGCCTGACATGCAGACCTATCCACCACTCCCAGATATATTTTTAGACAGGTAAGTTTTGTTTCTAGGTGCTAAGTTTGTAGGCAGTTGTTACAAAAACAGCAGCGATGATATATTTATGATAATTATATTGTTTCTTATTGTGGTAGATGTATACTTTCTATTTGCTTTATCTGGGGGTATAAAAAGATATGCTTTGAAATCACATTTTTCACTTAAGAGTAAGTTAGGTCTTCAGCCTAGGTGAGTGAGAAAAACCACTGCTTCATTTTTTTAAATTTAATTTAATTGTATTTTATTTTCTATTTTGAGACTGTCTCATACTACACTATCATCCAGGCTGGAATGCAGTGGCACAACCATGGCTCACTGCAGCTTCAGCCTGTCGTGCTTAAGCAATCCTCCCACCTCAGCCTCCCAAGTAACTGGGACTATTGACATGTGCCACCACGTCCAGCTAATTTTTAAGTTTTTTGTAGAGATAGAGTCCCAATGTGTTGCCCTGGCTGGTCTTTAACTCCTGGGCTCAAGTGATCCTCCTGCGGTAGCCTCTCAAAATGTTGGGAATTACAGGCATGAGCCATCATGCCTGGACTGCTTTATTTATTTTTGTATAGTTATAGCTCCTTGGGTACTTTAGATTTTAAAAGGGTATCCTGGAATGATGTTTGTAATAAATGGAACTTGGTTGCCTTTTTTTTTTTTAATGAAGAATAGAGTTCTGCTGTTTCAAAAATATTGATGGTGTCATATCATCAAATGAATTGGAACTATCATAAAGAATACAAATGGATTCAATGATAGCATGCTGCTTTTATTAAATACTGAATACATAAAAAAAGAATACAGTTTATATGTGTAATGTATGAAAAATAAGAATAGAACAGGCTGGGCATGGTGGCTTATGCCTGTAATCCCAGTACTTTGGGAAGCCCAGGTGGGAGGATTGCTTCAGTCCAGGAGTTCAAGACCAGCCTACAAGTTCAAGACTTGCAACATACCAAGACCCCCATCTCTCCAAAACATTAGAAATTAGCCAGGCATGGTGGCACATGCCTGTAGTCCTAACTATTCAGAAGGCCAAGGTGGGAGGCTCACATGAGCCTAAGAGGTCAAGGTTACAGTGAGCTATAGTTGCACCACTCCAGCCAAGGCAACAGAGCGAGACCCTGCTTGTCTCCAATAATAATAGTGATAATAATAATAAAGCAAACAAGTACTAAGAACTGTTTTCACATTTTTTATTTTTAAATCTTTTTAAAATTTATAGTACTTTCTTTTTTGTTTGGTTTGGTTTTGTTTTCATTCTTTAGATGGAGTCTCACTCTGTTGCCCAGGCTAGAGTACAGTGGCACAATGTCATCTCCCTGCAACCTCCACCTCCCTGGTTCAAGCAATTCTCCTGCCTCAACCTCCCAGGTAGCTGGGATTATAGGCACTCATCCCCATGCCTGGCTAATTTTTGTATATTTAATAGAGATGGGGTTTCACCTTGTTGGTCAGGCTGGTTTCAAACTCATGACCTCTAGTGATCCACTCACCTTGGCCTCCCAAAGTGCTGGGATTACAGGTGTGATGCACTGCTCCTGGCCCTTGTTTTTGTTTTTAGGGTTTTTTTTTGTTTTTTTGTTTTTTGTTTTTGAGACAGCTTCTCACTCTTGTCGCCAGGCTGGAGTGCAGTGGCATGATCTCTGCTCACTGCAACCTCAACTTTCCTGGTTCAAGCTATTCTTCTACCTCAGCCTCCCAAGTAGCTGGGACTACAGCCACCACCACACCTGGCTAATTTATTTTTAGTAGAGCCAGGGTTTCACCATATTGGCCAGGCTGGTCTCAAACTCCTGACCTCAAGATCCGCCCTCCTTGCCCTCCTGAAGTAGCTGGGATTACAAGCATGAGCCACCTCGCCAAGCCCCTTGTATTTTTTTTATAAAACATTTTGCCCTTCTAAAAGTGCCTTGGCTGGGTATGGTGGCTCACACCTGTAATCCCAGCACTTTGGGAGGCCAAGGCAGTTGGGATCACCTGAGATCAGGACTTCAAGATCAGGAGTTCGAGACCAGCCTGGCCAACATGGTCAAACCCCGTCTCTACTGAAAATACAAAAATTAGCCAGGCATGGTAGCACATGCTTGTAATCCCAGCTACTCAGGAAGGTGAGGCAGGAGGCCAAAGTTGAACCTGGGAGGCAGAGGTTTCAGTGAGCCGAGATTGCACCATCACACTCCAGCCTGGGTGTCAGAGTGAGACTCTGTCTTAAAAAATAAAATAGCCGGGCACGGTGGCTCAAGCCTGTAATCCCAGCACTTTGGGAGGCCGAGGTGGGTGGATCACGAGGTCAAGAGATCGAGACCATCCTGGTCAACATGGTGAAACCCTGTCTCTACTAAAAATACAAAAAATTAGCTGGGCGTGGTGGCGCGTGCCTGTAATCCCAGCTACTCAGGAGGCTGAGGCAGGAGAATTGCCTGAACCCAGGAGGCGGAGGTTGCGGTGAGCCGAGATCGTGCCATTGCACTCCAGCCTGGGTAACAAGAGTGAAACTCTGTCTCAAAAAAAAAATAAAAAAATAAAGTAAGGAGAACTTATTGAAAGCTGGTTAAGAAGTTGTTACATCCCTGTATCTCTTCTCCTGTTCTATACCATTTTTCCAAATGTGAACTGAAGATTCCAAGGAAGTAAAGAAGAAATCATGTGGCTATCTGGGGAAAATAGCACTTTTAGGCAAAGGAAACAGCTGGATGCAAAAATCTGAACTGGGATTGTGCCAGGCAGGCTTAAGTAATAACCAGTGAGAGATGAGAAGAGCAGATCTGAGAGGAAACACGAAGCCAGATTGTATAAGGACTTGAGGACCACTGTAAGGACTTCAGCTTTCATTCTAAATGAAGAGGGAAGCCATTAGAAAGTACTAAGGTGGAGAGTCGAGGGATCTAGCTTCTGTTTTAAAAGATCATTCTAGTTGTTGTATTGGGAATAGCCTGGGAGTATGGGTGGGGAACTGGAGATCATTTAAGAATTTACTAAATTCGGCCGGGCGCGGTGGCTCAAGCCTGTAATCCCAGCACTTTGGGAGGCCGAGGCGGATGGATCACGAGGTCAAGAGATCGAGACCATCCTGGTCAACATGGTGAAACCCCGTCTCTACTAAAAATACAAAAAATTAGCTGGGCATGGTGGCGTGTGCCTGTAATCCCAGCTACTCAGGAGGCTGAGGCAGGAGAATTGCCTGAACCCAGGAGGCGGAGGTTGCGGTGAGCCGAGATCGCGCCATTGCACTCCAGCCTGAGTAACAAGAGTGAAACTCCGCCTCAAAAAAAAAAAAAAAAGAATTTATTAAATTCATCTAGACATTCCGGTTGGTGACTCACACCTGTAATCCCAGCACTGTGGGAGACTGAGGCGGCAGATCACAAGGTTAAGAGATCGAGACCAACCTGGCCAACATGGTAAAGCCCTGTCCCTACTAAAAATACAAAAATTAGCCAGATGTGGTGGCAGGCGCCTATAATCCAGCTACTTGGGAGGCCAAGGCAGGAGAATCGCTTGAACCTGGGAGGCGGAGGTGGCAGTGAGCTGAGATTGCATCGTTGCACTCCATCCTGGACGATAGAGCAAGACTCTGTCTAAAAAAAAAAAAATTCATCTAGACAAAGAAGATGTTAGATTGGATGAGAACGGTGGCAGAGATGGTATGAAAGAGTCAAATTCTATATGTATTTTGAAATTCTAGCTAATGGAATTTGCTGATGAATTTGGATTTGATGAATTAAGAGAAAGAGAGAAGTCAAATATTATTCCAAGGTTTGGGTTTTGTTTGTTTGTTTTGTTTTGTTTTGTTTTTGAGACAGGGTCTCACTCTGTTCTCCAGGCTAGAGTTTAGTGGTACCGTCACAGATCACTATAACCTCAGATTCCTAGGCTTAAGTGATCTTCCGCCTTAGCCTCCTGAATCACTAGGACTACAGGTGTGTGCCACCACAACTGCCTGATTTTTAAATCTTTTGTAGAGATGGGGTTTTGCTATGTTGCCTCGGCTGGTCTCAGACTTTTGGCCTCAAGTGATCCTCCCATCTTGGCCTCCCAAAGCACTGGGATTGTAGGCGTGAGCTACCACCCCCAGTCTATTCCAAGATTTTTTAACCTGAGCATCTGTAAAGATGGGGTTGCCATTTACAGAGATGGGAAAACTGTGAAAGGAGCTGACCTGGAGGGAAAATTAAGGGTTTGGTTTTCGACGTGTCAGGTTTAAGATACATTTTACAGCAAAATCAGATGTCAAGTAAGGATGGAAATATGAGCAGAACTTCAGAGAGATTGAGAGAGAGAGAGAGAGAGAGAGAGTGAGAGAGATCTAGGCTAAGATTTGGGAATGGGGCCGGGCGCGGTGGCTCAAGCCTGTAATCCCAGCACTTTGGGAGGCCTAGGCGGGTGGATCACGAGGTCAAGAGATCGAGACCATCCTGGTCAACATGGTGAAACCCCGTCTCTACTAAAAATACAAAAAACTAGCTGGGCATGGTGGCGTGTGCCTGTAATCCCAGCTACTCAGGAGGCCGAGGCAGGAGAATTGCCTGAGCCCAGGAGGTGGAGGTTGCGGTGAGCCGAGATCGCGCCATTGCACTCCAGCCTGGGTAACAAGAGCAAAACTCTGTCTCAAAAAAAAAAAAAAAGGATTTGGGAATGGGCAGAGAGAATAGTATGCTGGAAGCCAAGCCAAAAAAAAAAGTATTTTAAGAAGTTAGGAACAATTGACTGTATCCAATGCTGCTGAGAGGGCAAGTAAGATGAGGATAGTTGACCACTGGCTTTAGCAACATGTTGGTCATCGGTGACTATGACAAGAGTTAATAAGGGCAAAATGGGTTACAATGGTTTCAGGAGAGAATGTGAGTTGTATTGGAATTTACATGAAGATACTCCACAAATACGAAACAACATGAGTGCAATAGTATTTATGTGACACTGTGTAATAATTATAAGCATTGTAAATAATCTAAATGCTTACCCATGGGAAGGTGGTTGAATAGACTATGATACATCTATACAGT